CCTGATGTTTCCTCCGCCCTCATATACCCCTTCCCCCAAGCCACAGCCCCACCAATGTGACTTGTACCCCCCAGCCCTGCCAGCATTACCTGCAGGCAGAACCAGCTTTAGGCGTAGGCAGTGAGGGCAACCACCCAGGGCACCAAGGTGCAGGAGGGGAGGATGGCGGAGGGCATCATGGCACACCAGAGGCAGGGCCCTGCCTCAGCTTGGGCAGGGGTGGAAGAGGAAGAAGCAATCTGGGGATGCCCCTCATTACTAACCCCCAGCCCCCAGCCATCCCTGCCCTGCTGGAGGGTACCCTAGCTGCTCCAAGCCAGGGGGTGGGTGGGGAGAAAGGGGGGATGGTCTTTTTGGAGCTTGGCCTCTACCCCAATGGAGCAGACCTGGTCTGAACTTGCCAGAGCTTGGCCCCTGATGGCCCAGACCAACCCTGTGCCATTGAGGTGCTCCCCAATGGTGCAGAGCCAGTTCAGACTCACCAGAGCTCAGTCCCCAGCCCTAGTGGTGCAGGGAGGGTCCTGAAGCCCTGGCCCTCCACCCCATGCCCATCCCACAGCTGGGAGCTGTGCAGGGGGGAAGAGGCTGGGGTCCCTGTTGTTCCACACCCTTCCTGGGCCCAGGCTCCCCTCATGGCAACTGCATGGACACCCCATGCCTGAGGGAGCCGCAAATACCCAGCCCCAGGCACCTCCCCAGCCCTCTCAACTGCTGCTCCCAGGTGCTGGCTCCAGCCAGGCTGCAACCCTGCACACCCCATTGTTAGCGCAGAAATCTATGGGGGGCAAGTGCCCCCCCCCACCCCCCAACGCATCGCCAATGGAGCTGGGGGCAGGGCCAGGGAAAGTCCAGGATGGTTTGGGGCAGGCAAAGGATAGCATCACAGCCCCTACAGCCAGCAGCGCAGTTCCCTCTTCCCCACAGGCTGTTGGTACCTGCCAGGGGCTGCAGGGCAGTGCAGGTGGTATAACACAGCTGGCAGAAGCCACTGTGACAGTAGGCTGAAGCCCATACAGCACTATGCAGTGCAGGCAGCAATGCAAAGTTGCCCAGCAGCAGCAACTCCAACACCCACTATATCCCCTTGGGGTCCCCACCAGCCTCCCCTGCCTCATCCCAGAGCAGCAGTGCCCTGACAAGCATGGCAGGCAGCACAGGGGACAGGCCCCACACTGCTTTGCACAGGCAACAGCAGGCAGCACAGGGCTGCAGCAAGGTGAGACAGCGCAGCAGCACTAGCAGTGCCACCCACCCTGCCACCCCTCTTCTCCCCCCGTCTCAGCCCTTCTGCTGCTGCCAGGTGCTGGCTGCAGCCCTGCATCCCAGAAATCAGGGTGGGGGGGGAGTTCCCCCTGATGCATTGCCAGTGCCCCCCCGCCCCCCGCTGGATCCCTGCTCATGAAAAAAAGGTTCCTTAGACAGTTCCAATTACAACCCCTTCCTTTCTCCGTCCAGGACAATTGATATTTCATCTTCAGGTCAAACTATCACGGCACAAAGATTGTAAGAAGTGCAGAATAAATTCTGTCCATCAGACCAAGATGAGAGATTACAATCACCATCAAAATACCCTCTAGCTGGTACACTGCTCTTTCTGAACAGTGCACGATAGGCACTTCATAAATGAGTGGCTGTTCCCAAATAGTCAAGATCAGTAATTTTGAAGCAGGGTGCCTTGAGATCCTTTCAAGGGTGCCATGGGATGCCACACAATATTAGCATTGCTAAGTTTACAAATATGATTTACAAGATAAACCCAGAGATTTCAAATATAAATTCACACTTGGGGTCTTTTTGAGTTCTGTGCAACAAAAAATCCCAAAGCTCTGTTATTTTTCATTCAAGGGGTAGCTCAAGTCTAAAAAGATTGAAAACCACTGATTTAAACCATAGTCAGGAATTACAGCAGTAAATATATTTTTAACCTCCTAGTGCCTAAAAGACTTTAAACAAAATTGGCAAGGGTGGGGGGAAGAGTTGGCCGTTAATGTGCACTACATTACCTTATTGAGTTCTTCTATTCTTCGTATCAAATATGGATTACTTGAAGAATTTTCAAAGTAGACATAATCTGAAAAAAAATGTAAAAAAACAAGATTTAGGCGTGTGTAAAAATAGCAGTACCTTTTTTCCTTAAAAACAAAAACAAACAAAACAACCCCCCCAACACACTTATACATTCAGTGACATTGTACCAATGCATCTTACCCCACATGTCAAGTATCCCCTCCAGATCCCAAATAGTAACTGAAGGTATGTGTAATGATAATCCAGGCTAAATTATTTTAATATTACAGGTAAAAAGTGGCATATGTAAATCTGAAGGGAAAAAAAAAAAAATACCCTACCCTCCCCAGCATGGAGGAAGCTACACAAGTTTGCTTGCCAGCCTACACATTCAGCAAGCAATGTTTAAGATGATCCTCTTCACCCTCTGACCAGGATTATCATTTCTATCTTTGAGTCCCTTTACTAGCTGACTCCTCCTTCCATATCAAGTTCTAGCTTCTTATTCTTACCTTTTAAGACTACAACTTTGTACACCAACTTCTCTCACTTCCCCTGCCTTGCTCCAAAGTCTGTTTTCCTTCTTTTATTCTCATCTACTGTCACTTTCACATCTGCTGAACCTTGGCCTGAAACTCCCACTTTAGCTCAAAATGCCTTGAGAGGGATTTGAAAGGAAAATCTTTCTTCTGTAAACCTCACAAACTATACCCCACATCAGGAAGTGTGCTGTCAGCACATACATTATTGATCATATTTCATATTACTGAACCCCTGCAGGAAGCGGAAAACCCCCCACAAGCAGCAAGATGCCTCCTATGAAAAGCACTTGTAAACAGCAGATTTAGAAGAGCAGAGTTATTTATTAACAAGGATCATTTTCCCCATTTTATATATGGGGAAACTAAGGCTAAGAGCAAGGTCATCTAGAACGCTAGTGTCAAAAGTCAGGAAAAGGACCCAGGGTTCCTAATCCAAGTCCAATGTCTTAGCCACAAATACAGGGTGGTCAATCCCTGGCCCACAGGCCAAATCTGACCTGTGGGGCTCCCCACGAGTCCATAAATTTGGCAGTGGGGGAGCAGTGGATGGAGTACCTGATCCCAGCATGCAGGGCCAGGCAAAGGCAGTAGTAGTGGGCATCAAGGCCCAAGCCCAGTGTGAGGAAATAGGAAGGGGCAGAGCCAGACTCTCAGGGACCAATCCCAGAGCACAGGGAGTGGTGCTGGGTCCCGAATGCCCTGCCCTGTGCTCTGGGATTGGGAGAGGGCAGTACACCATGGCCCGATCCAGCATACTGTCTGACCCCCTGGGGGCCACTCATCTGGTCTGCAGGGCCAAAATGATTGATCATTAGCCCACTAGCACATAGTGCAAGGCACTGGACATTCAGAAACAGCAAAGCAGGAAGTGTCCTGAAGAACTGGCCATACAAGATGACAAGCAATATATGATGGCAGAATATATATATTTTTTTTACATCCATTTGTTAAGTTTAGCTACACCCTGCAATTAAGCACTCTGTTTATAAGCCAGAAAGCTCTCTCACCAGCTTGTGGCTGGAAGGTTTTCTGTGGTGCAAAACATTTGTCTCTCTTCTTTAAAGCCTGAGTTTTATTTCTTCAGAATAAGATTGCTTAGCCCAAGTTCATCATATCAAGCATGTCTTTTCCCTTGGTCATGGTATTCTGCAGAGGCCAAACTGCTCCCTACAGGATTATGCTGCATATCCTCTCTTCCTGGGAACTAAGTTGAGCCTCTTTCCTCACCCTGACACCCCAACCACTTTTTATTTTTTAAATATGACTTGCTGTCTATCAATCTGTCAATCTAAGAGATGTACATAAAACTGACCAGGGGACTCCTGCAGCAGCCAGATTACTCTCTACAATTCCCTAGCTCTCTTGCTTCTGGTAAATGCAAGACAGGATTCCCCAAAGGGAGATGCTGTTTCGCCTATACTTCTTTTGTGAAGCTCCATCACACCTAAGACAGGAACCATGTCTTCTTTAGCACTGAGTATGATGTCAAGACTTTCTAGCATTGTGTTTGCTCATTCACAGTAGCACTCTTGCAAATAAAAAGGGAGCGCTTTCAGTTCTAATAACATTGGTGCTCAAATGAAATGCTTGTACAACTGGTCTCTGGCACTAGGGATTCCCCTCCCGGTCAAAGAGAAGGAAGCAGCATACAGGTTCTCTGTCTCTCTGGTGTAATTCTGAGGATGTTAAAGACCGATTTCTGCACCAGCAATTCAGGCCCTCTAACAGAGTGTGGAAAGAATAAAAATCAATAAGAGCAGGAATAGATGTTCTCTTCTCACTCTGAACTTAACCCTGATCCCATAACATTCCCTACCAACTCTCTACAGTATTAACACTCATGTCCACACTTGCAAAACCTTTTCAGGACATTACATGTGGCGTGCAGAGGTTCGCTTGTTTAACAGAAGCAATGAAACTGTGATCAAATGAACATCCCACTTGACATGGGATAGGCATAAGTACAGTGGGAAATACTGAACTGTCAACTGGACCTCACACAATAACTAAGAGCGAGTGAGGTGCTCTGGTATCAGTTAAACCACTGCATTTCATTAAGTAACTGAGCATGAACCAATGTAACTAAGACACCTAACAGATGTTGCATTTATTGCACAAATAATTTGCTAATCATGAAATAAATAGTAACATGCCACATGTGCAAGCAGTTTATCATGCAATAAAATGGCAAAGCAACCAAAGATGCGCCAGATTTAGTGTTTCCTGTTTCTATCATGCTTTAATTGAAACATGTGGCTCTCAAGCACCCGGGAGCCGGAGCACTGCTTCACATCATAGGCTCCCAGGTGCCAGCACTTTGACCTATACAGGGAGTACTCCCTACTCAGTTCTCAGGCAGACAGGGTGGCTATATCCTGGATCTGAGGGCTGCCCCTTGCCCAATCTCACAAGTCTGAGAGACCAGGTAGTGAGCAACCCTCAAATCCGAGATACAGGTGCCCTCTGCCTGGGGAATGGCACATTTGTGTAGCCTAGCCCACATTTAAAATGTTCAAGCACTGGGAAGCAGCTCCCTGAAGTCAGGCTCCCTATGGGTCCAGAAGCTGAAAGGACACCCCCGGCCCCCAAGCAACATGGCATCGGGGGGCATCTGGAAATGTCTATGACGACATTTCCCACAGCACTCCTTGAAGACCCCTACACCCTAGCAGTCATGCAGCTGGGATCTAACAAATTTACTCCCAGATCCCAAAAGCTTACATCCTGTCATGCACATCTGGCATGGCAGGACACACAATTGTGGGAATCCAGGAAAAATTCATCAGGTCCCAATGATGCAATTAGCATCTGCCAGGGCCTGAAAGGCAAAAAGGTCAAAAGAGGGTGCAGGCTTTCAAGCATGGTTTCAGAAAGATACATAATGCCACACACCTTGTTAATATACAGAATTATCACTCAGCAAGGTTGCATTTGTACGATGAAAGCAAGTTACAATGTTGCAATGAGAAGGCTCACATGTAATAATATGCTCAGTTTCCAGGTGACATGAAACAGGAAAAAAAGTAGCAATGAATAGTAGGGATACTATACTAACTGCTTTGCTGCACTTCCCACTATCACAAAGTGGGTTTTCAGCTCTTTAAGGCCTGTTATCTTAGCTTGTGGTACAAAGGACTTATGCTAGTGCTAATTCAGTGACAGCCCTTTCCCTCTTAAATTTTTTATCCAAGGTTTAAAAGTAGCAATGGGCAAACCTAAAAGGCTTGTAATTTGCATTTGGTTTGGAAAAGGTCAAATTATCTGATATTTCAAGTCCGATATTTTAAATCTCTGAATTATCCGAACCTGGGGGAAAAATCATTTTTTACCATAAGAAAGTGCCAGTTCTCTGTAGCACATGAAGCAGAAGCGACAGCTTTACATCATTGGGGCCAATGATAAGACAGCATGGAGTAATAAAATTGGGCAATCATGAGGCAAAAAACATTATGCAATTAATGGAACACTAACTGAATTAGAAAGAAAATCCTTCCTCCCTCCTCAGAGTGGAGTCAGTACAGATTTGTTTGGCCACACACTGAGTGGAAAGGGGGAACGAAGGGCGCATCTGCCACACAACTCAGCTGCAAAGTAACTCACTGTAATTCGGGGGTTATGGAAAAGAGATCCACCAATATGAAGATCTCCCCCTCATCTCTCATAAAAGGGTCACACTTCAGGGAACTGATTCTCAAATGGGTTGCCACAGGATTCTTTAAAAGGGTTAGCCTCCGGGCACTGGTAGGTGGAACTACCCTGCCACATCTCAGTTTCTATGAGATGCCCGTGGAGCTGAACCAGGAAATAGTAGCAGTGGGAGGGGGTACCTGCTGCAGTCTGGCCTGATAAAAAGGGACACTGTGATGCTGCTGCTACTGGCCCACTTGAGATCTCAGACTGGCAACACCACCACCATGGAGAGACTAAGTACTGCCCCTGGTCTTCCTGAAAGGCATGGGGCACTGCAGGCTTCAGGCATCAAGGCAAGGCAGGAGAACAGGTCTCTCTTGCATTGGGGAGGGAAACAAAACAAGAGCTACCTCTGCCTACATTCAAAGAGGGTGTCACTAAGTTCAAAAAAGTTATGGAGGGGGGCCTTGAGTCAAAAAAGGTTGAGAACTACTGCTTTAAAGCTGTGGTAACTAGCCATCAAAGAAAGCATGAATGATCCTCTCCCCACTATGCTGCCAGACAGCAAAACTAGCAATTACATCAGCTACTTGGGTCTTCTGGGCAGAAGGCTGAGCATTTTGGTCCAACTACATTTTTGAAGCCTAGGGCTGCAAATCCAGGAGCTCAAAAAGATGAGAAACATCAACATTTCTAGCTGAACATGACAGCTTTGCCTCTGTGCTTTCTTCAGTAACTACATTAAAGATTTTGAATGCATAATTCTCCCATTCTGCTTCTCTCAAAACAATATAAAAAGGCTATCTTAAATAAACAGTCCTACAAGTTTTTCACGTATAAAAGAATGCATCACAACATCTGATATGGATAAATTAAGCAGCTCTCTCAAAGA